AGGAAGATCTCTCATCAGGATCTCCAAAAAAGTGACTCTATCCTGTATTCTCAGTGGAAAAACAAGAAAAGGCATTTCAAACTTTTTTCCCAGGGTATAAGAAGAATAGAGGGAAAAGCCAAGAGCTCCAGAGATCCAGAATGGGATGTATTTAGAGAAAACGAGGAACTCTAATCATCGTGCATCAGCAAAGGTGCCTTTCACAGAGAGGAACAATTTACAATGTTGTCTATGTAAACAGAACTTTTCTGCTCTTACTTGTGTCAGAATGCATGGCTTCTATAAACATACAGAAGTATACTTTGTGCTACTGTTTATTTTACATGGAGTTTATTAAGATAGCAAAGGATTTGGTATTTTACAGGCACAGGACAGAAGTGTCAATGGTCACTAGCTAAATATAGAACCCAGCCACAGGGTGAAAAAGGGTAGAAAAAGATTTCTGTTTTCTTATTTGTTCACCAGCTAATATTAATAGAAATTAAATATGCCAATTCCCTTTGGAAGAAAAATGTAATAACTACTAAGCTGATAATAATGAAATAATTGCCACCGTTACCTACATATCTCAGTAAGTTATTTAGTTACTTGTGTGTGAAAGGCAGTTATACAACACTTACCAATGTATTTGTAACACTACCAGATGCAAAAAATGTGTAGCAAATACTTTGGTCAATATCCGAATTAGCAGTGTGAATTATTCTAGCAGAAAGACTTGAGACAAAGAACTTGGAGCTCTCTCATGTTTTAAAATGTTCCATTACTCACTTTCAGCAACCTGCACTCAGAATATATAACCATACCCCTATTCTTCCCTGCATGCTGTCTGTTCTCTGTTTATACCAATATGACAGTCAAATACATGAATTATAAAATCAGCTGCAGCCTTGAATACAAAGCTACATATATGTTGCTTTGAGACATGCCTGTGTGATATTGTCCCTGGTTTCTTTAACAGGTAGAGAACAGATTTAGCACTGAATACAGAGATGTATAGGATGTAAAATTAGCCAGTACAGCCATCTGTGAAAATAGAGTGCTGCCATAGCTTCATTAATATATTGACAACCAATTAAAAAAATAATTCAAAGAAAACAGAACCAGGATTGCTTATCTACAGTAAGATCTAATTGATTAAATAAGGTATGTTATTCCTTCTGGCCTGCCTATAGTACCAGTCAGAAGTTATTCCAAACAGAAAATACCCTATAACTTCTTCTGTTAGGCCCTTATTAGATCAACAATTAATCTCTAGAACCTTTTCTCCTCTTATTCTCAGTCTTTCTCTTTGAGGTGTACTGTCAGAGTGAGCAGACGAGGAAAACAGTATGTACAACACTTAAAAAAAAATCTGTATTGACTGATGTCAATCTTACAGAACTGCTAGTATGTTTATCTAATCATCTTGCAAGCTTCTTCCTGCTCAGATTATCCAGTAAGAATTATTTGCAGAAATTCTCAACAATATCCTTAGCATTTTCAAATGCCTACAGTTAAAATTGCACAAAGACAATTAAGAAATTAAGTTCTTGACAGCACTTCAATACAAATAGACCAGAGGAAAAGTACATCCTCCCCTCTGTAATACCACCACATACAATCCAGATGCACAAAACAGTACTTCAGTGTCCTGGCAAAGTGATGGAGTGGTGCCTTTGCTCATTCTTGCCAGAACACCTGACAGCACAAGCACTACAAGCGCAGATTACAGATGGATAAATGTCCACTAGTGGTAAGGACGAGTGACAATTATATTTCTGGAGCAGCAGGTTTCAGAGAAACAAGCTGTAACAGCACTTCCTCTGAAACACAGTTCTTTAGCCCATGTGAATAAGAAGCAGATGTTTTTTGGCATCCTTAGTTGCACTGCAACCCATCTTAATTCTCAAATCCCTGGTCTCCAGCACAACCTGCTATGCCATACAAGAATGATACCACATGAAGGATTTTTACATCATGTGTACAAGCCATCTTCAGCACTCCTGCAAGTGAATTTATACCTAGAGGAGAATGCTCTATACAGTCGCAAAAATTATAGCAATGAAGGTTAGGACTACGGTACCTTTGTTGTAATTTATTAGTGCCCAGACTCCATTAGTATCTAGTGTGTGAGAACATTCGCTCTTAATACACACCAGAAAGGTTCATTGGCATTTAGGGGGAGTAAATATGGGATCACTTCTTAGGCAAGGGAAGAAAATATGACTTCATGCTTGCATATTGCCAGGTCTCTATCCAGACTTCAGAACCATCTACAACTATATTGTAATTGACAACTAGTATTTGAAATCAAAATAATAATAATAATAATAATAATTGTTGCAATTCTGATTACTCATCAGGCAGATTCAGTTTTGATTTCTGTGACAGGTGTCTGAAATCATAAAAGCTGGTATTCATGTCTCGTAACTTTAACCAGCTGTAATTTCAGCATGCAACTCAAGGCAAGCTACTCTAAAAGTGGGGCTGCAGGCAAGTTACCCTCAGTACAAAACCTAAAGCATGAATAAGATAGCTGATACCCACACATGCAACGCAAAACTGAGAAAAGCAGAAAGAGGAGGACTTTGCTCAGCTAATAAAACAGCATACAAGCTGTATTATTCAAGCAGTGGTTGAGACCTAGCATCTCTTTTCATGGCACTGACTAGAAAACAGTAGAACAGACTCACATTTAATATACTGTAATGAACAATAATGCACTACTAGAGGAAAAGCTCATTTCTACATCTAATAGCTTCCAACAGCTAGCTTGTAAAATAAAAAAGAATCCATATAATATAAAAAATCCATATAATAAAACATAAGTTGTTTTTGTTTTTTTTTAGTATCTATATAGATCTTATATATGGTCTATACCTCATATTTTTGCATCCAAAACATAGAAGATTTCAACAGTATTGTATGTTTCATGTTCTATCATATGCTTGTACAAGCATTTTATACCAGGGAAAAATAAAAAATAATAAAAAAAAAAAAGATATTTTTTCTGCTATTTTCACACAGTCAGATCTGTTTAAATTCAGTGGGAGTTTGGGCATTTCCAAGAGTCAAAAACATGCACTTTTTGTCTGGAGGGCTACACATGTACATTATAGTGCTCAACATGTAATACAGCTCTCAGCTTTAGCATCCTATCAATGAAATGACTACTCTCCATGTTCTCTTAAGACTTCTCCAAACCCATTTCTGTATTTTGTCCCATTGCCTAACCTTCAATGAATACATACCTAAGTGTACCTCATATACACACACACACACATTTGAAATACGTGCATTTCTCAGGTAGATGCAAAGGAATGAAGAGAGAAATTAAAAAGAGAAGATAAGAGTTAAAATCGGTTAGCCAATTCTAACTCCATCTCACATCTGTTCAGTTTATTTCTAATGCTACTGTTAAGATGCTGGAAATCCACTTGCCCAAAGCGTACTAGGTAATTAAATCTAGCAAAAAATAACAAAAATGTGACAAATTCAGATATTAAAGCAGTGTTATCAGAGCAGCAGTTTCCCTTCTCTTTTCCTTAACTAATCATTGAAGTCTTGAAATGTATGGAATACCCTCTCCAGAGTCTTTGATAAAACCAAAGGAAATGCTTCAATGTTAATACACTTAGGATAACAGAGAACTAATACAATGAAGACGATGTCCAATTTTTACTTTACAACACAAAAAGCAGAACTCAGATTCGAATTTCTAACAGATATTCTTGTATCTGCACTTAATCTGTGGTTGTTTCAGCAGTTAGAATAGTGAAGAAACCCTAAGACAATGAATTACTTTTTCAAGAAAACTAGAAATAAATCAAAACACTTTCTGATGCCTCATAAAGAGCTTGAATTATGGAAGATTAGCATTTGCACATTTTAATTTAGTTGCAGGTTGCTGCAAATTCCCTACACAATGCCCAGAAGTAGGCATTGCTACTTCTTTCAGTGTTAGATACAAAAAAGGAACAGTTATTTTTGAAGTATTAACAGGTATTACCAACTTTGAAACACTAATAGGTAATACTGTCCCTTCTAGAGTTTTCAAGAACTTGCTAATTAGATCATGCTTATTTAAATTATAATAATTATACAACGATGAAAATTAATATACTGGTTGAACTCCAGCTTGCAAACTTTTCCTGTAAACTCCCTATTTCTTTCAATATATATATTTTAGATGTATTTATATATAATGCCTATGTATGAACCATTACAATTCCCCACCACATAGTTTATTTTCAAATAATAAATCTTGACTGGGACAAACAACTTTTGAATTCTGTTCTCAGCTCTGCCAGATACACGAAGCTGCACAAATCAATAGTCACTCTGATGCTTTTGTTTCTTTGTGCAAAATGGAGCTTCTAACATTTCCCTTGTAGTAGTGACCTGAGGGCAAGTTCATCTCTCTCTCTCACTTAAATATTTTGACGTAGACACCCAGACTCAAGATGAAAACAGAAGTTTAAATTCTTAAGTGGAGCTTGTTAAGCCATGTATAGAAAATTAAATGTCTTCTCTATAGCTTAAAGAAAAGTCTTTGCTATAAATAGCAAGACTGTAAATGGTACTATCATAGCATTTAATAACTGTGGGAAAAGATAAGCATTCTGTAACATGTCTGAGTCACAGCAGGCATCTGCATGTGCAATCTTGGCTAAATAATTTTTGAATGGAAAAGTTTCATACTCTCATACAAATTTGGTCATTTTCTAGCTTTGTTCAGAGTTTCTGAAAAGTAAGTTATTGCAGTTTAGCATGCACCAAACTGCATGTGTAACCTGCAATGATACAATATAAAAAAAATTAATCATTAGATTCAAATAATTAAGATAAAAATGTCTGCTCTTCACTGAAATACAGTAAATTAATAATGGCAGGAGTTCAACATAAGGCCCTTGGCAAGGCTTTTTTCACATTCAAGTTGCAAGTCAAAATGCTAAAATCAATCTTTTTCTCCAGTAATGTGAATATAACTTAGTATTTAACAACAGAAAATAAAAACTTACAGGCAAAGAAATCTTTTAGCAAATTTCTGCTATGACAGAGCTTCACATGGCTCTTCACATTACTTCCTGGTTTCATTTCCTGGAACAAACAGAAACAAGACACATGTGAAACTAGCTATATCATACTGAAATGTCATATACGTATACACAATAGCCTTAAATCATGCTATGAAATAAACTTTGAAAAATATTTTAATACTGGTGTCTTTCAGGCAGTACAAATCTAACATAACACTTCTGGATTTGAAAGGTAGTTTTAATTAATGTTTGCCAACTCCTATGCCCAATACTGACTTCCATCCATCTTTCTGTAGACTCTCAAATTGATTTGAGATTAATTTTTCATCTCCCTAAGCACAAGAAAACCATACATGATTTTCCATTTGCTAGCCGTACTAGTGGAAAAGACCTTTTTGCAGCCTCTTACATACAGGTGCAAGCAATTTCAAAACAGTAATCGAAGTTTAATAAAACAGAAAGACCAAAATATATAATTTGTTCACTAGTAATGTTTTTACAGATGTTTTTTTGCTAAATAAAAAGTAAAATATATAGTAAAGATCTGTCAACTCCAAAGGACCTATTGAGCTTGTCCAACACCCTGACAGCTAGCTGACCGTGACCCAGCAATGTGCCCTTACAGCAATGCCCCACAGCAACCTGGGCTCCATTAGGATGAGTGTCACCAATGTGTTGAAGGAAGTGACCATTCCTTTCTGCTCAGCACTGGTGAGGCAAAATACCAGTCCCAATCCCAGGCTCCACAGTACAAGAGAGATGTCCACACAGGAGCAAAAGGGCATGAACTGACTTGGGCATCATCTGTATGAGGAGAGGCTGATAGAAATGAGGGCCTTGACCTTTGAGAAAAGAAGGCTCAGAGTGACCTTATCAATGAGTATAAACATCTGAAAAGGTGCAGAGTAAGGAAGGCAGAACTAGACTACTCCCTGTGGTATCCAGTAAAACGACAAGAGAACACAGGACCAGAGTGAAATACAGGAAGTCCTGTTTAAATATATGTTTGTTTGTTTTTCCACTGTGAGTGTGGTCAAACACTTGAAAAGGTTGTCCAGACTGGTTAGAGAATCTCCATCCTTGAAGCTATTAAAACCCAACTGGACAGAGTCCTAGACAATGTGTTCAAGATGACCCTGCTCTGAGCAGGCTGTTGGACTAACTCACTAGGTCTTTTCCAGCCTCAACAATTCTGTGATTCTGTAAAGTGCTTTATTTAACTCATCCCTGGTTAAAATAAATTGAAAATAGGTTATAATTAATCACCCATGAAATGTCTTTCCTGAGGTGCATGAAAAAAACCAGCCAATCTCACTGTTCTTTACCTAGTGTAAAAGGCTTGCAAAGGTTATAGTGGAAAGCTAACACCACACAGTAATCCTGACATTCTGATCCATTTAACTGTAGAACAGAGGCCATAAAACTTTCCCCGGTAATTCCTGCCTCAAACTTTCCTTGTTTTCTTTAACTACCTTAAACCAGAAGAAAATACACAAATATATAAATTCTGGAAGATACTCATGTGATATTTAAAGTGGATTACCAACAAACACATCAAATGTATTTTGTTTCATAATGAAAGGATATACCTAAAAACAAACACACATTACTCTCTAAAGAATTCTTTAACAGTGCTCTAGAAATGTCAATCAACCAAATGATGTTTGGTGGTATGATATTTCCTGGTATTTCATATTAAATCAAAAAGATCGAGAGTTACAGGTGCAGTCATGGGTTTAGGATTGCATGAACCAAGGAACTGGTTCAATATATGTGCAAAAAAACACCCATGGAGTAAGCTTTGTAAATTAACAAGATTAGAATACACCGCAGGTTAAAAGTCCAAAGATTTGTTTTTGTTTTACTGACAGTGTATTACTTATGGAAAAAATCCTTTAGCAGTATCAGTCATACATCTTCATGAGATCAGATTTTCTTTTTTTTTTTTCAAGAAAAATATACACGTTTGTTTTTCAGTTTTTGAAAAAATATGACTACGAAGTATATTTCAAATTCTCTGTTTTCCTGGATAAAAATTAAACAGCATATGCCTATTTTATTCATTGCCAGAGAGAACAAAGGATATGCGTTAAAGAAGCATACAGTACATTTCTATACATACCCGCTCTTACAAAGACAGGTTGCGTGTATCCCACCACATGGGTGGGTATCTTTTGTGTTCGTGTTGCTAAGGAAACCAACACTGTGCCAAACCACTACAAACGTATTCAAGTTCTTAAACAGGGTAGGTATTATTTTATTTTTTTAAACACAAAAATAAAGCTAGCATATAAGGCTACAGAAGAGCTCTCAATTGCCAAGAGCATGTTAAGCCAACACAATTATAATGTCTGAAATACAAAGATTTTCTACTCTGTGGTGTTTGTGTACTTAGACATAACTTCAGAGGCTCGTCCAGAAGGCAGTAGGTTACAAGAAAGCTAGGACATGACTGGTTTTGCATATGACAGAAGATGGGGCAGATAAACTCTGAAATTTTCTTTGGCTTGTTAAGAAGTCAAAAACTTTAAAAAACCTTCACTACTGATCTATTCACAGTGGACAGCTGTTTAAATTGAATTGCATAAAGTAAAATACCATGAAGATATACTATCCCATTTAATAAAAACAGAACAAGTTTGCTGTGAAGAGCTGTGTTTTGCAAGTTGTTAGCAGTGTACCCGTTAGAGAAGGACAACTCAAGGAATTATGTTACATAGACTTGAGTTCATGTTTTCCTGCTGTTTCACAGAACATTACACAAGCTCTATTCAATACCTGTATCTGTTTTATCTATCCTGGTCCATCTGCTCTGCAAATGTTCTTGCAAAGCAGTTTCCCATAGCAACATCAAATATCACATAGACCCAGTCTTCTCTTGAAGCACTTTAACTGATCCACTTCTGAATTTCAAGCAGCATCTTTTTTTCTTGCAGTACTTAAGTAAACAATAAATAAATGGAGTATTTCATCAAATGGAAAACAGACATGAATGGAAGTCATACCCATGAGTATAACCCTGGAAAAGCCCACAGTGACTGCCTACTTTGAGGCAACTTCAGTTAGATCACCTACAAACCATTAATAGCCCAATTTTTCATTCTCTTGTGTACAATGATCAAAGAAACCAAAATAAGAGGAAAAATTCTCAATACATTTTCACACAAGATAAAAAAAAAAATAATAGTAACAGCAACTTCCTAAAAATACCGTACATTTCACCTAAGAATCTATCTTGAGAATCCCTGCTCCACTTTTAAGAAGTAGTAAGCATACATAAGATTGATTTTTAAGTGAAGATGTTCTGAAAAAATCTCTTAAAATAAGCACTCGAGAAGTCAGTAAATATCATAAATTAATTTTGAGCACACTAGTTCTGTGTGTTTATGGAGAATCTGTAACAAAGTTGTTGTGCAAGCTATAAATTAAGGAGTTAAGCAGACCAGTTTTCCTAATTGCTAATATCTGCATTTTAGATTTGTCTAAAACCACCAGAAGCAGGTAGGAAAAGGCCCTACAGTAAGTGAAAAGGCAATCAAACTTTCTGGGTCACTTCTGTACCACTGCACCGTATTTTATAACTTTGAGCTACTTTAACAACATACTACCTAATTATGTAATCTCAGAACCAAAATAAACAACTAGATGCAATTCTCGATATTTTTCTACCAGCATCACCTCCTTTCACCTATACATTTTCTTGGGTTACTCTTGGTCTTCCCCACCCATTCTCTTTTGCCCATTGTGGAATTTGGCCCTAAAACAGACTGGCTAGATCTCTGGTCTGCACAATGAAGTTCTTATGTACAGCAGCTCTGATGCTCTTACACGGAAAGGCTTCCGTGCATGCCTTCAACATGAGTAATACTAATGGCTACATAGCAAATCTGGCATTTTAAGAGAGCACAGAAGAGATCCACAACAGGAGGATCACGCAGCTCTCTGCTGCACATGCATGAAGTCCAGCTCACTTCACTGCAAGCATTGCTTGGCAGAAAAGCTCAACATACAAATACAAAAGCCCACTGGTTGCAGATAAGGGCACCACATGAAATCTCTCTCTCTATTTAAAGCTACAATATTACAGTGAGGTGAAGTTACCTGCAACCTTCCTGATGATTTTGTAATACCAAATTGGCCAAAATACCCTGCCTGCAATTACCAGCAGACACAACTTCCAACAGATGCATTTTATTACTACAGTCATGAAAAACAAAACAAAATATATGCTCAAGTTGATGAGCACTATGTTCATGATTTCTAACACATCGTTTCTTTCTCAAACAGGAACAAGTAGCAGCACTTCTACCATCACACACTAAGGCAAGGCTAAAACCCAGTAACTCATTCTTTCGTTGTATGAACTTAGCAGTGCACGTGTTTTATTATCCTTTATTGTATATAACTTATTTTTAGGTTTGGTTTTCTTATAAACTGATCTGCACATTTAAGACAAGAATTTCAGCCAAATCTACAGTGGAAGTTGTGAGTATATTAATACCAGTTTTCAAACCACAATTGCTCGGTATTTACATCTCCACAGTTCTCTGCCTATTTTAATATACCATAGTATAAAACATCAGACATAAAATTATCAATAATAGTCAGCTTCATTACATGCAACAGATGTATGTGAACTATAACTAAAAGCTAAAAGCAGACGATGTTTTGAAAAATATTTTTTCAAATATGCTACTTCAAAAGTAATGATCTAAACCAAGAATAAAATATGAAGTCTTTAAGGACTAACATCTTGCTTTTTCTGATGGTGTCTGAAAGACTATAAAGCCTTTAAATTATTAGAATCTATTCTAGAAATGGCTAAGCAGCCAGTACCGTATTCATTTATCCTTTGTCCTTTTAAGCTTTCAGGGTGCTGTGTAGCCATAGTAACTATCCCTTTCCTCTGTGAAATCCATTAGCTGGTTTCAATCTGGATTTCAATACTACCATAAAATCAAAGCCAAAGATTAAAAAAAAAAAAAAAAAAAAAAAAAAAGATTAAAAAGATTCCCGAGACAAGTGTTTATTTTAAAAGCAGTTTCTGCATCTTTATGCTTT